TTACAATTCAATGTTTTCATTTACGTCGATGGGTGGGAAAGTTGATTCATCAATTAATAGAGGAAACGCACCATACATATTCAGGCTTTGCGGTCAAAATTATCATAGCATCGGAAGTCTTCTCCCTTCAAATGGATGTCAACCAAGGTTTTCTCAGTTGTACATATATGATACCGAAAATGAAACCTCAAATAGACAGAAATGTTTATGGTATATATTTAGTTATACTTTTACTTTCTATGATCACTTTAACAATATTAAATTTATATAACTGATGTATATATTACAATAATTTTATTTACAGGGGAAGCAATCATCCTTCTATATCGACTGATGATTCAACTAATCTTCAAATTATAGAAGATTTGAAGCTTATGTTGGATTCAAATAACGAGTTGGTCAAGTGTTATAGGATGGTTAGAGATGTTTTTAATTCAAATCCAAATGCTAATCTAAAGTTACGAATTATTGGAAAAAGACAGCATGATGGAAGGACATACAACCTACCAACTGCTTCTAAGGTCGCTGCTTTAATTGTAGGAGACATTGGTGATTTTGTTGATAACAGAGACATCGTTGTTCAAACTTCGTCTGGATCTCTACGCCGTATCAGTGAATTACATCGTTCTTACCTTGCTCTACAGTATCCTCTACTATTTCCATATGGTGACGATGGTTATAGAGTTGACATCCCCCATAGAGGTGTTACGTCTTCGAGCAATAGCAAGCGTCCAAACACTACAATGAGAGAATTTTTCGCTTACAGAATTCAAGACAGGGATAATTCTTTCTCATTGATTTTGAATTCAAGAAGGCTTTTTCAACAGTTTTTGGTAGATGGTTATACAATGATTGAAAGCGTGAGGTTATATTACGTACGAAAGAAACAGAAAGTTCTTCGATGTGAATCTTATGAGAATTTACGTAACTTTCAACATCAGGGGAATAAGAACATTTCGGAATTTGGCCAACGTGTTATATTACCATCTTCTTTTACTGGTGGTGCAGGTTACATGATGCAAAACTACTTAGACGCCATGTCTCTTTGTAAGTGGTTTGGATATCCTGATTTTTTCATAACCTTTACGTGCAATCCAAAATGGCCCGAATTTCGAAGATTTCTTAAGGAGACTACGCTTAATCCAGAGGATAGACCTGATATCCTATGTAGGTTATTTAAGATCAAACTTGATGCGTTGATTAAAGACCTACGCGAGAATTCAGTATTTGGCATGGTTAAAGCAGGTATTTAAATTTATTTATTCATACTAACCATATTATATTATAATGTTGTGTTTTATTTAAAATATAGTTATATTACATACATTATTTAATTTTTTATTACAAATTTGTTTATTTCGATATATGCAGTTGTGTATACAATTGAGTTTCAAAAGCGCGGGTTACCTCACAGTCATATTTGTCTATTCATGGAACCTGATTACAAGCTTCCTACCGTGGAACACATTCATCAATTTATTTCAGCTGAGATTCCAAGTATTCACCAAGATCCTGCTTTGTATTCACTTGTGAAGGAGTTTATGATACATGGTCCATGTGGTGCTCAAAATGTCAATTGCCCTTGCATGGTGGATAACAAATGCTCTAAAAACTTCCCAAAGAATTTCTCTGAACATACTTCAATTGATGAGAATGGTTTTCCTATATATAGGAGAAAAAACGATGGATCGTTTGTAGAAAAATCTAGTGTCCAGTTAGATAACCGAATTGTCGTTCCATACAACAAATATCTGTTGAAAAGATACCAAGCACACATAAATGTTGAATGGTGCAATCAGGGATCTTCTATCAAGTATTTATTCAAATATACTAATAAAGGTCCGGATAGAGCTACTTTTACTTTTGTACAAAACAACAATGGTTCTGATAAGGATGATATAGTCGATGAGATAAAAGAATACTATGACTGTAGATATCTTTCTTCATGTGAAACATCTTGGCGAATTTATGGATACGATGTTCATTATAGACATCCTTCAGTGATGAGACTTCCTTTTCATCTACCTAATCAACAACAAGTTGTCTATGGTGCAGATGATGATATCGATGATGTTCTTAACCAGCCTTCAGTTGCTTCTTCGATGTTCACGTCGTGGATGGAGTGCAACAAAGTTTACAAACAAGCAAAAGATCTAACTTATGTTGAATTTCCAACAAAGTTTGTTTGGAAGCTTGATTTAAAAACTTGGAAGCCAAGGGAGGTCGGATATTCGATTGGCAGAATTCATTCAGTGTCACTTAATCTTGGCGAAGCATATTTCTTAAGAATTCTTTTAAACAAAGTGAAAGGACCAAAATCATTTGAGGAAATCCGCATGGTTAATGGTGAAATATGTCCTTCATTTAGAGATGCATGTTATGCTCTTGGCCTCTTAGATGATGATAAAGAATACATCGAAGCTATTAAGGAGGCAAGTCAGTCTGGATCCGGTTATTACTTACGTTTCTTATTTGCTACATTTACAATCAACAACAAAGATTAAAATCTCCAGGTACTATAATAATTCTTTACTTATTTATTAAAATACATTTTTAAATCAATATACGATATTAATTTATTGAAAAGAACACATTTGTTTATATATTTATTGGTTAATATTATACCAATTTTCTTTCAGGTTTATCACTTAATGAAGATCAAATTAAGAACCTGACTTTGTTTGAGATTGAACAAATTTTACTTCGTAACAATTCAAGTCTCAAAAAATTTACAAGGATGCCTATGCCCGATGTTGATTCTGTATCCTCTTCAAACAATCGTCTTATTAGTGAGGAGCTAGATTATGACATACCAAATTTAAAGAATGAGTTTGATCAGCTTTCTATTGCATTAACATCTGAGCAACAAAACATTTTTGATGATATAATGACTACAATAAACAATAATGAAGGAGGTGTTTTCTTTGTCTACGTTTATGGTGGAACGGGTAAAACCTATCTTTGGAAGACATTATCGACCGCAGTTAGATGTAATGCTAAAATTGTTTTAAATGTTGCTTCAAGTGGGGTCGCTTCTTTATTATTAACCGGTGGCAGGACAGCACATTCAAGGTTTATAATTCCTTTGGTTCTTACTAAGGTTTCTATTTGTTCCATATCACCAGATAGTGAACTCGCCAGTCTATTACGAAAAACCTCATTAATCATTTGGGATGAAGCACCCATGATTCACAAGCATGCATTTGAAGCTTTAGATCGAACTTTGAGAGATATATTCAAGTGTCATAATCCTAGAAACGAAACTTTGCCATTTGGAGGGAGAGTAATTGTTTTTGGAGGAGATTTTAGACAAATTCTGCCTGTTATTCCAGGTGGTAGTAGACAAGACATTGTTAATGCTTCATTAAGTCATATTTATGGCAACAATGTAAAGTCTATCAACTAACCAAGAATATGAGGCTAACTGTTGGAAGTGATACATCTGCTTTTCAACAAACAATGGATTTTGCAAAATGGCTTTTGGATATAGGAGAAGGGAAACTTGGTGGTTTTAATGATGGCGAAGCGATTATTGATATTCCGGATGATCTTCTGATTAATGATCCTGATGATCCTATAGGTTCGTTAATCGAGTTTGTATATCCTTCAATTCTTGAAGCTTCTAGCAATCCAGAATACTTTCAAGAAAGAGCAATACTTGCTCCAAAAAATGAAGTTGTCGGAAAAATAAATGATCGTTTGCTTGCATTATTTCCAGGAGATAAAGTTGAATATCTAAGTTCAGATAAACTATGTGAATCTGAGTTTGTCCATGATCACTTTGATGCCAATTTATACTCACCTGACGTTTTAAATGGTCGTAAAGTCTCAGGTTTGCCTAATCATAAGTTAGTTTTGAAAGTCGGGGTTCCAGTTATGTTACTGAGAAACATTGATCAAAAAAATGGCTTATGTAATGGCACTAGACTACAAGTGATATCTTTGGGCAAACGTATTATTGGAGGCAGTTATCATAACTGGAAGTAATATTGGAAATCGGATATTTATCCCAAGAATGACCTTAATACCATCTGAAAAAAAAAATCCCATTCAAATTCCAAAGAAGACAATTTCCATTAGCTGTTTGTTTTGCAATGACAATTAACAAGAGCAAACGACAGTCCTTATCTAAGGTTGGTTTGTTTTTGAAAGATCCGGTTTTTACACATGGTCAATTATATGTTGCCCTATCTAGAGTTCAAAGTAGAGAAAGATTAAAATTGTTAATTTTAGATAAGGATGATAAACTTACAAATAAAACTTCTAATGTTGTTTATAAAGAAGTTTTTAGAAATTTGTAAGTTGTTTGTAAAATTTTATTCCTCATAACATGTTTTCTTCTTATTATTAATAAGATTTTGTTAATTTTTCTTTTATAATTTCTTATTTTTTATAATATACGTTTATTTTAACAACTTAAATTTTTTATTTATTTAACAATTTTAATTTACTTCACTTATTGGGGTTGTTTTATTTTTACAATAAATTTAATATATCATTATATTATATCGTAACGTTTTTTTTTCACAAATAAAAATTATATAACATATATTGAAAATTAATTTCACATACTTATTTGAATCAATCATTTTAATTTTACATAGCTACATAATTTATTAATAATTTAATTATATGATTTGATTAATAATTACGATATTTTAGTATGAAAATAAAATTAATTTTGGACCCGGGTTCCCACGGGTTATATATATATATATATATATATATATATATATATATATATATATATATATATATATATATATATATATATATATATATATATATATATATATATATACTTTGAAAAGACAGACGTAATACTTAATGTTAATGTTTGTGACGACATATATAGAATTTTCCTATATAAGGATAAAAAATAATGTTTTAAAAAATAAAAGTTATAAATAGAAAAAAAGATATAAATAAAAGGTTTAAAATAAATTAAAAGGGTTGAAAATGAAGAAGTGACCATATTTTTACTATTGTTTTAAAAACACCCCATTATGGCTAAGTGTTTTGAAAAACACCTCATTAATGCAAATAAATCCCTCAATACAAAGAATCGATAACCGACTCATTCTGGTACAAATCGTTTTATACCTGAAACCAGCCAGATTGGACCAATTTTGCACGATACAAAGAACCTATGACGGGACCAATTCTTGTAAACCGGTTTCGATCTACATGCGGTTTCTGGTCCGGTTCGGAGATCAAATGTTCAATCCTAAATGAGCTTACTCTCATACTTTTTTTTTTTGTTTGTTTGGGGAGGGGGGGTAGTTGTTTACATATCACACAATTTTATAATTTATGATAATTCTCCATAACAAGAAAATGGTAATAATATCACCGACCGAAAGTCTCACCTCAAAAAAACTCAAACCACAATATTTAAATGCATCACTACAATTATTAAGCAGCTTTCAATGTGTTACCAATATCAATAACAAAACGATAACGGACATCAGCTTTTGCAAGACGCTCCATTGCAGTGTTGATATATTCAATGGGAATGAGTTCAATCGCTGCCGTTATATTATGTTTAGCTGCAAATTCAATCATCTCCTGTGTCTCCTTTATCCCTCCTATCAAACTTCCTCCCACCATCTTCCTACCTGTCGCATGCATCAACAAACCTCATTAATATTTCTTATATATTCACACAAAATTCCCTCAACCACATTTTAAGGAATTCAGGAAAAATAAATAAAAGATTCATACCAAAAAGCAAAGGGAAAGCAGGTAGCTCATACGGCTTGGTTGGACCACCAACCAAAACCAGTTTACCGTTAGGCTTTAACAGAGCAATCAAAGGCACAAGAGGATGATCAGCAGAAACAGTGTCAATAATTCCATCCAAAGAACCCACACCACTCTGCATCTCGGCTTGATCCCGGCTCACCAAGAAAGAATCAGCGCCAAAAGTGTTAATCGCTTCTTCTTTTTTCTTGGGACTTGTGCTGATCACAGTAACCTTAACACCAAGAGCTTTAAGAAACTTAACAGCTACATGACCCAACCCACCAAGCCCAACCACACCAACATGCATCCCAGGTTTATCGAGCCCATAGTATCGAATCGGGCTGTAAACAGTGATTCCAGCGCATAGAAGCGGCGCACCACCATCAAGTGGGTAGTCTTTGGGCCATGTGACGATGAAGTGTTCGTTGGCTACCATGTGGTCAGAGTAACCACCGTAGGTTACCATAGAAGAGTCATTGTATGTTTGTACCATTTTTGGGCAGTATTGCTCTTGATCTGCACCACATTGATCGCATGAATGGCAACACCCGACCATACAACCCACCCCCACTTTGTCTCCTACTTTGACTTTTTTGACCTTGCTTCCCACTTCAGTCACCACACCCACAATCTCATGGCTGTAACGATCGACAAAAACCAGTAGTAATTTGTGAAGTATCAAAAGAATAACCCTAATCGGTAGCATATGAAAATATTAGGAATTACCCAGGGATCATGGGATACTTGGCGTTGTGCCATTCATTCTTAACAGAGTGAAGATCAGAGTGACAGACTCCACAGTACAACACTTTGAACCTCACGTCTTCATCCCCTGTTTCCCTATGTAATCATCATTCATTCATCACAGATTGGACATGAGTTAGAAAAAAATATGCATGCTTATAAAATGAAGAAACTCGTTAATTAATGGTATATAGCTATTGGCATCAGATATTACTTGAGTTCAGGTGTAATTATCGATGATTTAGCATCATAATCAAACAGTTTACAGAAAAAGAAAAAAAAAAAAAAAAAAAAGTACTTCAGACTTTTAAATTTTAAGCGTCCAAATTAAAATAATAATCATCTTAACAAAAACGTCGTAATTACTCGAAAAGTCAAGAAAGTAAAATGCATATTCACTATAAAACAAAAAGATATTCCGATCAATTTCGAACTCGACAATTTTTTTTTACTAATCATTCACTAATTTAGTATTGAAATTCCAAAAGAATATGTCAGATCTGTGAATAAAAAATTAAACCATAACAATCTACGTGAAAGGGAATAATAAACAAATTATACCTCCGGGAGAAGTTAATGGGGGAGAGTACGCCAGAAGTGTCTCTGGCGGCGTAGCCCAAGGCCTTAACAGCATGCTCCGTCTCAGGTGAACTCCCCATCGGCGATTACTGTGACTGTGTGTGTTTTCCGATGAAATGTGTGATGGAAAAAAGTGAATGCAAATGTGTGTATGTGTTTAATTTGATAGAGAAATGGTGCGTTGCGCTATTGGAAATATATGGTGGAGCAGTGTCCATTGAGTTATAGTGAAAAAGTAATGCTAACGTAACAGATGATGTACAGGGAGTCATACGGATTTAGCTGGTAACGTCACAGATGACGAACTCTGATACGGAAACCCCGATAGGGGTCAGTTGTGTTATTCGTGAGAAATTATATTTTATGTCTTTACATTAAAATCGAATATTCATTTTTGGAAGTATATATTATGTCTTTATTGTTTTTAAAAATGAATATTCGATTTCAATGTAATTTTACCATAAATTTGATAGTGAAAGACTTTGTCACATCTTTATAAAATAATTAAATATTTATCTAAGTTATTTGAATGTATTATAATTTCAGTTAGTTTTTCACTGTAATTCATTATAAAGATTTACCCATAAGCAAAATAGGATCCTTAACACTGAAAATAGGAAGTCACAATGGTTAAAATTTGATTTCTAGAATCTTTGCAATTTATATTAATTTCTAAAGATTCATGACCGAATATGATATTTAATAAATGATATTCAGCATCATTTCATATTTTTAGAAGTTTTTATGAAAATAATATGATCGTTTCCAAAAATAAAAAATCTTTAAATGAAAATTATATTATATAATTAAATAATAAATAATTTTTTTATTTAACACTAACTTTTAATTGTTACCTAATATATACATTCATTTTGACACTAGCAGAAAACATGTCATGTCATTAACTTTTTTTTTTTTTTGCCGATGCGATTCCATTAGCTAGAATTTGAGAAGGTGTCAATAAAATTTCCCGTTAATGATGTTAACAATGGTGAAGATTAGAAAATAGCTAGTGTAACATGAGGAAGTACTTTCTCAATCAAATACACGTTCGCATAATCGCATTTACATTTTCTATCAGACATTTCACCCAAAAACACACACAGTGATTGCCGATGGGGAATTCACCTGAGACGGTGCATCCTGTTAAGGCTTTGGGCTACGCCGCTAGAGACACATCTGGCGTACTCTCCACCATTAACTTCTCCCGGAGGTATAATCTGTTTATTCCCATTTACGTGGATTGTTATGTGGTTTAGTTTCTTCATAGCCTTCAAGAGAAAGAAACAATACACGGATCTGATAATTTCGTCGCAAGTTTAATATTAAACCGCTGAATGCTTCGTAGAATTACTTTCCTCAGATTTCGATGTTGATCGGGATATGTTATGTTTTATAGCGAATATTTAATTTCTTGACTTTTCAAGTAATTTCGACGTTTTTGCTATTATTATTGTTATTTTACTTGGGCACTCCAAAGTCTATATGATTCTGAACATGACGTAACTTTTTTAAGTTGTGGGGTAAATAGCGATGATCATCAAATGCATTAAAAGTATATAATAGTTGATTAGATCGTATTGTATCATCAAAAGATGGTGTAATATTATATATTTTGAACGACATCTTTAATTACGTATTAAATTTATAGGACTTTCAACATTGATGTTGTGAATACGTGAGCATTAATTAATAAGTTTCTTCGTGTTATAAAGATTCATAAATTTTTGTAACCCATATTCAGTTTGTGATGAATAATGATTACAGGGAAACCGGAGATGAAGACGTGAGATTCAAAGTGTTGTACTGTGGAGTCTGCCACACTGATCTTCACTTTGTCAAGAATGAATGGAACAACACCAAGTACCCCGTGATCCCTGGGTAATCCCTCCATTTCATATGTTACTGATTAGGGTTATTCCTTTGCTACTTTTTGATACAAACTATTATCTAAACCCATGCATTACTAATTAGCGGCTTTCCTTGCAGACATGAGATTGTGGGTGTGGTGACTGAGGTGGGCAGCAAGGTCAAAAAAGTCAAAGTAGGAGACCATGTCGGGGTGGGTTGTATCGTCGGGTGTTGCCATTCATGCAATCAATGTGGTGCTAATCAAGAACAATACTGCTCAAAAATGGTACACACATATAATGACTCTTCTGTGGTAACCTACGGTGGTTACTCTGACCACATGGTAGCCAACGAACACTTCATCGTCACATGGCCCAAAGACTACCCACTTGATGGTGGTGCGCCGCTTCTATGCGCTGGAATCACTGTTTACAGCCCGATTCGATACTATGGGCTCGATAAACCTGGGATGCATGTTGGTGTGGTTGGGCTTGGTGGGTTGGGTCATGTAGCTGTTAAGTTTCTTAAAGCTCTTGGTGTTAAGGTTACTGTGATCAGCACAAGTCCCAAGAAAAAAGAAGAAGCCATTAATACTTTTGGTGCTGATTCGTTCTTGGTGAGCCGTGATCAAGCCCAGATGCAGGGTGGTGTGGGTTCTTTGGATGGAATTATTGACACTGTTTCTGCTGATCATCCTCTTGTGCCTTTGATTGCTCTCTTAAAGCCTAACGGTAAATTGGTTTTGGTTGGTGCTCCAACCAAGCCGTATGAGCTACCTGCTTTCCCTTTGCTTTTTGGTATGAACATTATAACAACAAATTAATGTGGCGATTAAATTGTTTGAATTATAAAGAAATAACAATTAACAAGGTTTGATGATGGCAGGTAGGAAGATGGTGGGAGGTAGTTTCATAGGGGGGATAAAGGAGACACAAGAGATGATTGAATTTGCAGCAAAACATAATATAACAGCAGCGATTGAACTCATTCCCATTGAATATATCAACACTGCAATGGAGCGTCTTCAGAAAGCTGATGTTCGTTATCGCTTTGTTATTGACATTGGTAACACATTAAAAGCCCCCTAATCTCATAGTGATTAGCTCCCCGTTCTACACAAGAACGATCTTCGGAGTCAACGTATTATCCATTTTGACAAAAGTAGCTCTTAGCTGGTAGCTGGTAGCAGGAAACTATTATTTTATTTGTTATATGAGTGTTTGGTAAAAATAGTTGGAAACTTTTAAAATATATAAAATTACATAAAAAGACAATTAATTAAAAATAAATAAATATATAAATATATTTTTAAAGGTAATTATGGAAACCGATTTCAAAAGCTCAGTAGCGTTTTGTTAAACGCTACATAAAGTAGCTTTTAGATTTTGAACGTTTTGTTTAAACTAAAAGGTAAACACTTTTACTACCAAACAAATTTTTTTGTTTAGACTAAAACGTTTTGTCAAAAGTTAAAAGTTATAAGCTCCCAAACGTTTTCAAAAGCTTCGTGCCAAACACACCCTTAATTTATTATTTCAAACTAGTTTATAACCCATGATAATCACGGTTATAAAATTAATTCAACTTTCATATTAAAAAATCAAAATTATTAATCAATTATTTTAAATAAATTATTACTTAAAAGATATTTTTTTAGTTATATAAAATTATAATCGTTGATTTAAATAAATACATGGAGTTATATCATTTTATAATTTATATTAATTTTATTTTATTTTTTAATCTAATGTTATTAATTTAATATAATTAAAGAAATAAATTTTAAAATTTAAAATTTAAAATGAAGAATCAATTTTAATTGAATAAAATTAGAGTGAGAAATTTAAAATTTGAAATTTTAAATTAATAATTAATAAGTTGAAAAGTAACATGATAAATGATATATAACATTAATGAGAGATTCTAATTGAATGACACTTGTCGATATGAGATTAAACCTATTCTTTTATTAGAATAGGGAGATACCAGACTCAATTCTAACCGATCGAATTTCCAATTTTCGTCAAAAAAAATCAGGGAAAATGAAATCCAAGTTTATTCCTAACTTTAAGAGCCCTAGATATAGAACTCTTCCATAACCTAAAATTTTCATTTCCAGTTAACTTTGTAGCAACTATAGAAGTGATAGCATTATCAGATGGGTGAATATAAAGAGGATCATCAAAATTAATTGAATCATCCTTTCCACTTCCACTTGGAGTAGAAGTAGGATCACCAGCCATGAAGGCAATAGAAAAGATAGTGAACAAGAATCAACAACAAACAGTGTCAAAGACAACCAAAAAATACAGACAACAGTGCTGATATAACGTCCAGATGGTCACCACGTATGTTGGGGCCCAAGACAATCAGTACAGTGTCAAGAAACAATAATGCAAAGAACAACAATAACTGGTGTACACAAGACAACCGAGATCTCCCAATCAGAACAATATTAATAAAAAAAGAAGAGAATAAAAGTGAACAAGAAAGTCCTCACAGACGGGAGAAGATACAACGAAGGGTCGACTTTCTATGTCCGTTCCCTACTTGGGTTTATCGGTGATCAATTCCGAACCCTAGAGAGTTATTTCAACTTAGAGATTGATCGACAGAGGCCAAGTTGTCAACTCCAAAATCGAATTACTGCAACTAAGCCAACTGTATCCTGCAAGAATCCAAACAAAAATCTAGCAGTACCAGGATCTTAAAAAAAACTTCATAGTTTATGTAAGAACCTAGAAACTCAAACAGATTCCTAGATCGAACACCAACTGTGACGTTCTACACAAAAAAGAAAAGAATCAGAGAGTATCTTTCTGAAATAGACGATCTGATGACGAAAACCATAACCGAGCATCTAAAACAAAGAATCGGAGCCTGAAAGCTATGATACCATCTTAAAAACACAAACAACACAAGATAAACCCAACATCATCATTTCATTCACTATGAAACATATGGTTTTCATATACAAATTACAACACAAACCTCTCTACAAAAGTTACTCACACTTAAACTAAAACTAGAACACAAGAAAGCTTACAGACCAAGCTCTCTTATCACAAACCCTAAACGAAACCCTAAGAGTATGAACAAGAGGGAGGAAAAACACAGATGATAGAAAAATGGTCAGGACTAATGAACAAAATATCTTCAGATAACCCTTAAATACCTCGGGTACAACCGGATACCTAAATACCCATGGAGCACTTGAAGATCCGAGTGCAACCCTGAATAAATTACAATACAACCCACAAAGAAATAGCAACATTACAGAAAACACCCTAATCAATGAATTAATTTCAGTTTGTAAATAATGAGAGTATTTTCAACAAATTTCACAATTATTCAATTACCAAATAAATAGAAAATACATATGTTACGGCTCAATATCCTTTTTATCAATATGTTAAAATATCATGTAATGATATGATTTTTTTTGAAATTATCATAAAAAATTAAATATTTAAACTAAATACATTTTAGCAATAACGTGAAATGTTAGTATTAAAATTTTCTTGGTCCCCTTTTATTTTAACACAAGATACATGCAGTAGAATAACATGTGGTCTGGGATGAATTTACTTCCAAAAGACAATAGTACAGTGTTCGTGTCAACGTTCATCACCGCACTGCCTAATGCCCATCATCTGTATGTGACGTTAGCAAACTCTCTCGCTACCACATCATCTGTTACGTTTCGTTTAGCAATCAAACCCCCACCACTATATATATTCCATCGATCCCCATTGCCCAACGCACAATATTTGCATTCACTTTTTCTATATATCACACATTTCACCGGAAAACACACACACACACTGTGGTCGCCGATGGGGAGTAAATCACCTGAGACGGAACATCCTGTTAAGGCCTTGGGCTACGCCGCTAGAGACACTTCTGGCGTACTCTCCCCCATTAACTTCTCCCGAAGGTATATATATTATATAATTTGTTTCTTCTCATATACGAAGATTAGTACTCATCGACTTATTGTTTAGTTTTTAATTATTAGGCTTTAGAACGTATATATAATACACAGATCCGATATTATTCTTTTCGGTTCCTACGTTGATCCAAAAATCTTTTTGTTTCTAGCGAATAAATGTTGTAATATCTAGACTTTCAACTAATTTTGACTTTTTAGTTATTATTGATATTTTGCTTTTTGACAACTGAAAGTCTAGATGATTCTGTATGTGAAGTAGCTTTTTTTTTTTCTTTTTTTGTTGGGGTAAACAGATCTATATCATCAAGAGATACTATATATGTACTTCTGTGCAGGTTCAAATAAAGTTTTGAACAACGTTTGCATAGGGTTATATATAGTACACTCCGACTCTGAATCCTTGATAATTGCAAAGTTTCGACTAATTCCTAAAACGATTAACAGTTAGAGCTTTAATCAACGAGACTCTTCGTATTAATTGTAAATATTCATATTTTTTTCTAACTCATGTCCAATCTGTGATGAATGAATGATGATTACATAGGGAAACAGGGGATGAAGACGTGAGGTTCAAAGTGTTGTACTGTGGAGTCTGTCACTCTGATCTTCACTCTGTTAAGAATGAATGGCACAACGCCAAGTATCCCATGATCCCTGGGTAATTCCTAATATTTTCATATGCTACCGATTAGGGTTATTCTTTTGATACTTCACAAATTACTACTGGTTTTTGTCGATCGTTACAGCCATGAGATTGTGGGTGTGGTGACTGAAGTGGGAAGCAAGGTCAAAAAAGTCAAAGTAGGAGACAAAGTGGGGGTGGGTTGTATGGTCGGGTGTTGCCATTCATGCGATCAATGTGGTGCAGATCAAGAGCAATACTGCCCAAAAATGGTACAAACATACAATGACTCTTCTATGGTAACCTACGGTGGTTACTCTGACCACATGGTAGCCAACGAACACTTCATCGTCACATGGCCCAAAGACTACCCACTTGATGGTGGTGCGCCGCTTCTATGCGCTGGAATCACTGTTTACAGCCCGATTCGATACTATGGGCTCGATAAACCTGGGATGCATGTTGGTGTGGTTGGGCTTGGTGGGTTGGGTCATGTAGCTGTTAAGTTTCTTAAAGCTCTTGGTGTTAAGGTTACTGTGATCAGCACAAGTCCCAAGAAAAAAGAAGAAGCGATTAACACTTTTGGCGCTGATTCTTTCTTGGTGAGCCGGGATCAAGCCGAGATGCAGAGTGGTGTGGGTTCTTTGGATGGAATTATTGACACTGTTTCTGCTGATCATCCTCTTGTGCCTTTGATTGCTCTGTTAAAGCCTAACGGTAAACTGGTTTTGGTTGGTGGTCCAACCAAGCCGTATGAGCTACCTGCTTTCCCTTTGCTTTTTGGTATGAATCTTTTATTTATTTTTCCTGAATTCCTTAAAATGTGGTTGAGGGAATTTTGTGTGAATATATAAGAAATATTAATGAGGTTTGTTGATGCATGCGACAGGTAGGAAGATGGTGGGAGGAAGTTTGATAGGAGGGATAAAGGAGACACAGGAGATGATTGAATTTGCAGCTAAACATAATATAACGGCAGCGATTGAACTCATTCCCATTGAATATATCAACACTGCAATGGAGCGTCTTGCAAAAGCTGATGTCCGTTATCGTTTTGTTATTGATATTGGTAACACATTGAAAGCTGCTTAATAATTGTAGTGATGCTCTTGGCTTTTGAGTTGAGACTTTCAGTCAGTGGTATACTATGAGTCTATGACCATTTTCTTGTTATGGAGAAGTTATTTTTAGAGTTATTGACTAAAATTATAACTACATGAAGTCAACAATAGTTTCCTTTCGGAACTTTTTATATCCAAACACCATCAAATTTCGAAAAGCCCAAATCGTCAACAAATGATCTATATCTTTATTAGCAATGTCACGAATTGGGCAAAGATCCGAAGGGGATTATTCCCCCTCTTGCCAAGATTTACTTTAATTGAAGATGATTCATAAGAATATGGCGAAACAATCCGAGGCATGAGTCAATTCCACCTAGTATCTACCTCACCGTTTGGAAACAAAAATGATCAATGCAATTTAAAACGTGTTATCTTATTTTACCGTAAAGTGTTAGCATTATAAAAAATATTTTACATACAATTTAAATGGATAAATTAAGTATACTAGGTTCAAAATTGAAGAATTAACAATATTAGAATAATAAATAAATTCAATATATTAATTAAAATAGAAGTTGAAAAAAATTGGGAATTTGAAAAGATTGAGATTAAAATGAAATGGCATCTATCATCATCATGTGTTTATATGGTAAAAATATTGTTGTGAGTGATGTGGAAAGTAACCAAGTCAATGTAATATGAAATTTTCATTAGTCTATTGGCTTAAAAAACTATATTTAGTTTTAGACTAAATAATTTGACATGAAAACTCGTTTTTTTACAAATAATATGTTTGTAATTTATCATTAAAATTCTCATAGGGTGTGTTTGGCACGTAATGTTTGAAAGCTTCTAACGTCTAACTTTTGACAAAACTTTTCAATTTAAACAAAAAAGTTTTATTTACCAGTATGAGCGTTTAGCTTTTAATTTAAATAAAATGTTTCAAATCTAAAAACTACTTCATGTAGTGTTTAACAAAACACTACTGAGTTTTTTAAATCAATTTTTAGAATTGCTCATATATATATATATATATATATATATATATATATATATATATATATATATATATATATATATATATATATATATATAATTGTCTTTTTATGTAATTTTACATATTTCAAAAGTTTTCAACTATTTTTGTCAAACACTCATATAACTAATAAAAACTACAACTTTAAGTCAAGGCCGACCCAATAGGAGTTCAAAACATGTCTATGGCTCACCAAATTATAGGGCCTAAAATTTTCGTAAATTACATATTAACCTATCTTAAGTTCTTGGCCCAATTCAAATTAGGTTAACATTGTTGTTAGTTACAACATGTAAGCGCACAAAGGGAGTGAGCGGGAAAATCTGAACCTTCGGGAAAAGAAAAAAACTCTTTGATTTCTTGTTTGTTGATTTACGCATGATGCGGAAATTTATGATGTCCTGTCAGACGATTTCAGAGGCAATGATCTCTAACAATCTCACTTCTTTATTATATTTTCTCGAAAATCATAAGCAACAATTCTACAATCTACTCAAAAATCAGCTTTGAGTGCTTATAATCTTAGGGAAAAGAACTGAGTTGTATAATCTTTTTCTCTGCTTCGAAAATTAACCTTGAGGTTTCAAAATCAGAAGGTAAGGGATTTATGGATTTTGACCTTTTCAGGTTCTATTTTTTGTGCTTCTCTTTTATGGTTTGAAGTAAGAAGATAAGAGATTTCATATTTTATGATTTTGAAGGTACATACAAAGTAGTTTCAAAAATCGGAAGGCACGAAGAAATCAGCTTCAAAAATAGGAGGAACAAGAAAATCAAGTTCTAATTTCTGAACGTACAAACAAACCAATTTATGTTTTTCCTTCTAGGTTCGTTTTTTATTTTTATTTATGATAATTTCTGATTTATAAGAAGTAAATCAGTTTTTTTTCCTTCATTTTTTCTTATTCCTATTTTATTAAATTCAGATGCATTGAGCAACAATCTATGGATTGTCAATCCTTCTTTGAGGTTTAAAAGTTTCTGATTTCATATTTTTTTTGAAGTTTCATAAAATCAGAAGGTACCTTTTTTATTTATGTTTTTTTTATATAGAAGCGAATAAAAGTTTTATTTTTTGATAATGTAATATAACTTGCTTATTTCATTTCTGTTTTTCTATTTTCTATATATAATTTTATTACAAGCAAATCATTGTATCAGAGTTTTATTCTTTAGAATCAAAAACCAAGAATCAAATCACTGAATCAGAGTTCTATTCTTTAGAAGGATTACGGTTTTCTACTATAAGCAAGTTTCTTTGTGTACGAGTTGGAATGAAAATTTTAATTTATGTATTTTGGAATAATAATAAAAAGTTATAACTGTTTTGCTAAATTTTTTAGATCAATACATATTTTTTGTTAATTTGCACAGGGCCTATGAAATCTCAGGGTCAACCTTGCTTTCAGTTATCAACTATTCATTGCCCGTTACCAGCTACCAGCTAGCAGTTATTTTTGTCAAATATGTCATGTATAAGTAAACTAGGTGTGAGACCCAGATGTTATATGAGTTTGATAAAACAAAAAATTAAATATGAAAGTTTAAATAATAATTTATGAGTACTAATATTGTAATTTATTGGTTATTTTCAATTAAAGCAATTATTAATTGAGGTGTAAATATGATGTGCTAATTAAGAAAATGAGAAGAAAAAAAATGAGAAAATGACAAATGAAAAAAACATTTATTCAAAAATACCAAAAAATAACATGTTTTCAAGTTAATAAAAAAAATGATAGATGACAAAATTATTTTCATTTATTAAGAAGGATGTAAGTATTATATAATTTTATTTGAGTTATCAATACACTACGTTTCTACCTTTGGTTAGCGGATCTACAATGGCAAAAAATGATATCCTTTTTCTATAAAATTAAGAAGGATGTAAGTATTATATAATTTTATTTGAGTTATCAATACACTACGTCTCTATCTTTGGTTAGCAGATCTACAATGGCAAAAAATGATACACTTTTTCTATAAAATTAATTTATTTAATAGGGTAAAGAATTTGAGGCTAAAATAATAGTATGCTCGCACAATATTTATGAAATAAAACAAAATGAAGAAGATATACATAAGAAGAAAATTAGCCTTTTCCGTTTATATTTATAAATGTCTTTATTTCCTTATATATAACTTCTTTAGCGGTACGAGATAAAAGATATGTTTATTGGACCAAAATTATACAAATCAATAAAATATAAGGGTTATTGGTATATTAAAGTCTTTAAAAAGAAAAATAAAAATAAAAAGAATGTAAACCCCACCTGGGGCATTCTCGATCGAAAGAACGGGGCACACACATGTAAATCTTAAAAAGTAAATTACACGAATTGTTTCTATGGTTTGGGGTAATTTGCACGTTTGATCTCTAATTTATTTTTTTAACTCAGAAGGTCCCTACTGTTTATTTTTGTTACATGCTTGGTCCATAGAATTTGTTTTTGTTACACGCTTGATCCCTATCTTACCTAAAAAGATTATTATTTGAATAGGAAAAAATAGTAAGGTAGGTAAGATAATGTGAGGTGGGTAGGATTGGGGGTATGTTTATTTAAAAAAAATTAAAAAATCAAGGGTAAAATAATCCTTTTAGGTAAGATAGGGACCAAGTGCGTAACAAAAACAAACAGTAGGGACCTTCCGAGTTAAAAAAATAAGTTAGGGACCAAACATGTAAATTACCCTAAACCATAAGGACCATTCGTGTAATTTATTCAATCTTAAACGAAGACGGGACATATGTCGACCCAAGAAGAAATGATAGATAGATATGTGAAGAAATGATTGATAGATATGTCAAATAGAGACAAATAAAAAACTTTTAAATTATCATTTTGTCATTAAACAAAAATAAAAATAAGTTTTAAGTATTTGAACCACAAGTTGGGTTAGCTAGTTTGCGATTCTAAACTAAAAATTAACTAGGTGGTTATTGCCTCATAGGTTCAATCCCTAACAAAGAAGAAAAAAATAATTATTTGTCGTTCTAAAAAAAAGCTGTTGAAGAAATTTTTTAAGTTAATTATGAAAATCAACAAAATAAATAAATTCAAATTAATTTATTAAAGATAAACAATTAACATATTAAAAAATCCTCAAATGTTATTAGCAGTCCAGGAGTTATTAGCAGCTCAGTTCACACAACGGTCAACAAATAAGACTCAGTTGGTCAACAAGCATATACTACTACACAGGCAAGTATAGTGAAGAAGACTCACATCGCAAGTAGCAGCTAAACCCTCTCAGTCTACACTCTAAAACCCTTAGTTTGACCAAAAGTCAACTCATGTCAACAAGTCAACGGTCAATGTCAAAGTTAACAGCCAAAACACCAACCATTGGTCATGTCATGAGAACTCACTCAACCCGATCCCAACTCGTCTCGTTCCAACTCAGCCAATTTGTCACGGACAACCCATTAAGCAAACTTCACGACATGAACATTACTCTATCACGTCGTGAACCCAAAAGACTCAGCAGATACGGGTTCTTTCGTGGTCACGTGGTGACTACAGTCTGAAGCAACAATCCAAATATTTAAGTCATTAATCCAATAAGTCTTTCACTCTAACTTTTCCAGAAGCTAAAAAGGACTCCAGAGGTTCATACAAATGATTACTTTATGGACATACAAACCTAATGCATGTCCTCCATCCATTCTAGGTCAAAATGAAGAGATTATACCAAAACTCATATGTATGGATCCAATAACCAACCAACTTTTAGATCTGAACTGTAACATCCTAAAATTTAAGATAAGGATCTTAAATTAATTATGTAATTAAATAAAGGATGATCTAAATAATTAAGTCATTTAAATGATAACTATATCATTAGTTGATATAAAACTTAGAAAGTTACAAGTTGAAACGTTAACATTTTAGAGTTAAGGGACCAAAAGTGCTAATTTGGCAAAGTATGTTTGACCAATGGTTGACTCAACTAATGGAAGTGACTACAAAAGTTATGTAATGGATGGAGAGGGACTTAGGATGTCTATCCCAAAGAAAAAGTCACATATATTGGAAGAATGGACCATTTTTTACAAAAACGAGAAATTAGAGGGACCAATTGTGAAAATATTGGGAAATAAGATGCAAGCCTCCTTCATTCTTCTTCAGATCATGTTTTGCAAGGGAAGAACTCCCTAATGGCGATTTTGATCTAAACAACTCCTAGGGTTTGAATTAAGCAAGTTTAGAAGCATTCACACAAGAAGGGAAACAATCAAAAGCTAATGATGTATAATCTCTTCTTTGATACTCCTAAATTTCGAGTTCAATAATGTCGAATTTAGCTTCTTCTAAAGGTTAGGGTTTGGTTTTCTAACCTCCTTTGAGTGGTTTCCATGGTTCTAATCTCAATCCAATTATCCTATTGATGAATTTGATGATTTGGGTAAAAAGCTCCATGAACCCTAGAAAACCCAAATTGGGAATATTGCAATTGATGGTGAAATGAGATTGGATTCTATGACCTAGATGATATTTGATAGCAATAAAACCAATTGGAATGCTCAAATTCATCCATAATGGTAGAATCAAGCACAAACATGAATTTTAGGTGACTTATGGAAAGATATGAGGACATCAATGGATTTTATGCAATTTGGTATAATTGTTAAACAAATAAAGTTCATAACGATGAATGGATGTTTTTCGAATGATTTGAATTCAAAACATGAGGTGTTGCTTGAATCCTAGATTGATATATGGAATAATTGGTCATATGGGTATTTTAGGAAATCTAGGGATAACTATATGATGATTGACATATTGCAAGTGAATGACATTCATGAACATGAATTGACACTTTAGAGATGGAATTGGAACATAAACATGAAGGATTTCTTGAGGTATAAGTGGTTCTAGTGATTGTTTTAGCCTAAAGGTCAATTTGGGAAACATGGAATAGAATTGAGGATTCAATGGTTAGTTTTTATACTTAAAATGAGATTAATTAAGGTTTTATGTGCTTGACAACATTTATTTGATTGTTCAATAAGTTAGGAACAAGCCATGTGAGCTTAGGAATGTTCAAGTGAAAAATGGACTAGTTTACCATTCTTTTAAACACTTGGGGATCATCATGATCTAAAGGTTTCAATGAACACTTATTGCATTAAATGGAGTGTTTTAAGATGATAAAACACCTCCTAAACATGTGTGAGAACCTAAATAAATGGTATAAAGTGAATGGAAAAAGGGTCTTCAAGAACTATGCAAAGTAGGGTGTTATTTGGTGAAAAATAGAGTTTTAGGTGTGTCCAGACATGAAAACACGGCCCGTGTAAATTCATGCTTTAATTTACACGGCCCGTGTAAATCTCTAATTTGGAGATTTTCTTGTTTTTTTCATAATTTTTGCGTACGAACTCGGATTTACACACGGTTTTCGCCTACATTCATATTTTTGGATGAGGAATGATTTGAAAAAAATAAAATTTAGTATTTGAACCTTTGAGGGGTATTTTGGTCATTTTAATGACTTATGTCCACATAAGGCGTATTTAGTGTTTGAAGAGGATTGTTATAGGGAAAGCAACTAGAAGAGCACTAGCTAACCTATGTGTGATTAAGGTGAGTACGTGTTGGCATCTTTCCCACATTGGGGTACATAGCAAAATGATATTATGATAATGAAATTCAATGCTTTGATATATATAATGTTTTGAAACAAAAGCGTTAAATGTTTTTGGAAATTGTTTTTGAAAGAGTGCCTTAAAGGCAAGACTGTTTTTGAAAGAAAATAATGTGTTGGAAGATCGAATGTTTTGAAAATATGATTGAAAAGTTTTGAAATATAAATTTTTTACTTTTGAAATGATTTTATGATACTAATGTATGAAATGTGTAAAGCACGGAAAGTAATGAAAATAAATGTAAAGTAATGAAAAGGAATGGAAAGTAATGAAAGGAATTGGAAAGTAATGAAATGAAAACTGTTCGGGCCATGATACCTCGTAAGAGGCACTGGAGGAATCTATCAGGGTGGCGCCTCCCCTTCGATAGATAGATGTCCTAATGTAAATGATGCCTTGGTAGATTGAT